GGTGAAGGTTAGAGGTTAAGTATATAAAAAAACAATATTAATCTTTTTTTAAAATTAAATGTTAACAATAAAATTTAAAAACCAAAGATTAATGATATTCAGAAGTTTATTTATATGTGCGTGTAGACCTGTAGAAAATTGCATTACGTGTTCGTAAACACGTTGGCTACTCAGTGTTCATGTTTCAAAAATATGAACTAAGGATTACGGGGTCCAAAACTTATAACTGAAAAAAGGAAATTATTCGATCAGCAATTCTGCGGTAAATCCTGTTCTAACCTGTCGTACGGCCGTAATTTGGACTTGTTGAATACAAAAACATTACGAAATGATAGTAGACTAATAGAGGGATGCATTCGTACAATTTCCATAACCCTAAGTCAAAACTATGATTTTATACGATTTTTCGAACCGGGGCATATCCGTTATTCCACAAGATTGCGCATGCTATCAGCGGTAAATCATACACTTATCGCCCGGACGGGTGTAATTTGGACTTTTCTTCTCTTCGAAACCCCCATAGAACGACAGTAGAAGTACATTGAAATGTTTTCATACCTTTTTCATAACCATAAGTCGAAAACCTGATTTTCTACGATTGTCAAACGAACGAGTACGACAGTACACGGATGTTATGAATTATTTAGGAACCCCCGTATGGAGCACATTTCTTTCGTTGGTATGTCCGTTTTGAAAATTCACCAAAAATCCAATTTTTGTACTACCGATATGAAAATCATATCGGTAGGTTCTGAAACACGTTGGCTACTCAGTGTACAAGTATCAAAAATATGAACTAAGAATTACGGGGTCAAGAACTTATAACTGAAAAAAGGAAATTATTCGATCAGAAACTTACTTTTACCAGTTTAAACATGTCTACTATAATTTGTTAATCACTAATTCACATAAAAATAAAAATAATTAAAAATGTGAATAATGTAATAATGTAATTGATCTATAGTATACTTATATAAACTATTATATAACAATGTCAAACATATGGGAAAATGTTATAAAAAAAAGTACCTATATTAAAAAATATCATAAATGCAATTTCAAATTTAAGTGCTGGAATCAATACAAGTAACGAACCAGTAATACAAACATTTTACAATCTTACAAAAATTCATACGAATAAAGCGGGTTATCAATATAGGTAAGCCTAAGTTATTTAAAATGAAAAATACGTCTAATTGATAATGATAAATTTCGAAAGTTCATATAACCATTTCCCCATCACCCCCTAAGAAAAAATGCTATATCCTGAAAAATTAAAAAACCACAAATGTCGGGACTTTCAGCACAAAGGAGCACAAACGATGCACAAATCATTGGCATCATTACAATTATGAAATACGAAAGTGGGGTGCAACCATTTCCTCAGCACCCCCTAAGAAAAACCTTTGTATCTCGAAAAGTTTAAAAGCACAAATGTCGGGACTTTCAGCACAAAGAAGTACAAACGATGCACAAAAAAAGGCTCTTGGTTTTGTTTCAAAATTCAAAAGTGGGGGTGCCAGGGAAATGTTTCTAAAATAAACAACCTATCACGGACGAAGCTGTCACGGGTCGACTAGTTATCAATAAGGCTGTGCAAAGCAATTAGGATTTATTAGACGACATTGTAATAATTTCTATAATTTGATAACTTTAAAAACTCTGTATTGCTCACTTGTCGGTCATGTCTCGGTAATAATTCTTCTCTCTGGTCTCCTCATCAACTAAATTTAAGACACGACATAGAAACCATACAAAATTGATTTTTGCGTTTTGCATCTTTTAATTGTAATATTTATAGAGCTCCACATTCATCGTATGTACATTTACTAAATTGTTTAAAGTTAGACGCTCTAGAATAACATCAAAATAAATTAGATTTAATATTTCTGTATAAGCTAATTAATAACCATATAGATAATTCTGAACTATTGTTAATGATTAATTTTAAGGTAACTAATTGTAATTTAAGGAATATTGACTTATTTTACCCATTTCCAACTTCTATTAATGTAATGATGAACTCGCCAATTAATCGAATTTTAAATTTAGTAAATATGTATAATATAGATCCATTTGTAATTAGTTTAAATGAATTTAAAAGAAATGTTAACCTAGTAGCAGTGGCGTATTTGGGGGAAAGGGGGCGATGGGGGCAATCACCCCTCCCGAAAATTTTTAGACCAAGACAATTTTTATATAAGTAATGGGTATTTTATTAAGAAACAAAGATTATGATTTATTTTATATTATTACTACATTTGAAAACGTTTCAAATTTTACACTAATTTAAATAGCTAACGCAAAACGCTAAATTTTTCATAATGTTTTAATTGTCAATAACGGTAAACGGAAAATTTTTTAAACGTTTAAATTTGTTTAACGTTTAAACGCTTAAATTGAATAACGTTTATATGTCCCATAACGATAAATAATATATATTATTTTGATTGAAGACCCAGTCCATACTTAGTGAAAAATTAGATAAAACACAAGCGAAACTTTCAAAACACACATAGGTATTAAAAAAGAACTACACAAAAGACCATTTTAAGTGAATCCGGCATTAGATTAAAAAAAAAAAAACCACAAATATTAAGGATTCACCTGATATAAATATCACCTGAATAGCCTGAATTAAAGAAAAAAATTTGAGTTGCCCCCCCCCCCTTTCTAAAAGTAAGTCTAAATACGCCCCTGCCTAGTAGTTAAATGATTTATTGTATATTGGTATAATAATATGATTGTAATTGGACGTATGATATATACATAAATATAAAAAAAAATACATTGGTAAATACATTTCTTTTCAAAATGTCAAATATAGACAACGAGCTGTTAATTAATGAAGTCCAAAAATATAAAGTTTTATGGATTACAGTTGGTGAAGACTACCCAGACAAAATAAAAAATAATGGGGCACGGATAAAAATATAAAAGTATAAAGTATAAAGTACTTTAGAGACTAAAGATAGTCCAACTAATATACAGCTGGATATTAATTTACCTATCTCGGTCCCAGTCTCTTCCATATCAGGTGCAAAGCAACTCAACGTGCATGAAACATTTTCCAGTGACTACACCGGCCCCCTACATATAATTATTTCGTCTACCGAAAACAAAAATGTTGGTAATCTGCATCCTGTCAAGTTAGGCAAACTTTTTATTAATAACTTCAAAGGTATTACCAGCATATCACCAATTGGTTCGTACAGAATCAAAATTGCTTTTGACTCTCTACATTATGCCAATATATGCCTAATTTCTCCATGGCTATCTGAAAATAATTTCACGGCTAGTATTCCAAACTCTCTTATTTATAGCCTTGGAGTCATACACCTCGATCTGTGTGTTTCCAAAGACGACTTCTGGGAAGGTTTCGAGTGCCGCTATAAAGCTGTTGAATTTCGCTGTATCAATATTAAACGGGATAACATCCTAATTCCCACAAAACTAGTTGAAATCAAATTTCTTTCACCTAAACTCCCTGAAAATATTAGCATTTTCAAAGTTATTTATGCAGTTTCCCCCGGTATTCGTTCACCTGTCCAGTGTATGCGTTGCTTGAGGTTTGGGCATACTCAGAAGTACTGTTGCAGTAAAGAACGTTGCAGTCATTGTGGTGAATTCAATCATTGCATCGACACGTGCGAAATTCATCTAACTACTGCTCCAAAATGTTTCAATTGTAATTTAAATCATATTGCCTCCGACCGTTCCTGTGCTGAATGGTCTATTCAAAAGGACATTAAAAGGATCATGGTGGTTGAAAACAGATCTTTTGCGGAAGCCGCCCAAATCAAACGTTTGGGTACTGTCCACAAGGGCCACACTTTTGCTGATGTCGTGAACCCTCTTAAAAGTGTCGTTACAAATTCTTTTACTGTTAAAGAAGCCAGCTCCTCCTCTCTTCAATCCTCTTTCCCACCTCTTTCAAACTCTCAACCTAAACGTAAAAATAGGAAAAATTTAATCTCTACAAATATTAACTTTTCTCAGTATTCCTCTTTTGTCCTGTCTCAGATCATTCCACCAGTCTCTTCAAACGGTAGTTATTTCAATTTCGTTGATCAACCTGTCTCGAACGCTTCTAATTCCAATTTTATTGATTCTCTTTCTGATCAAATTACATTGGCATTACTTCAATCACCTGATTCCCAAACTAGCTCCCCATATGCTCTTAAGTCTTTAATCGAGTCTTCTTTATATAATTTTTTAACACCTAAGTCAGATGATGATGAGACGTTCTAACAATAACCCTCCTATATTTTCTCATTGTCCATCCAGCGCTGCCGATCATTTTAAGATTCTGCAATGGAATGTAAGAAGCATCCGTTCTCGTTCTCCAGACTTAGCTTCAGTTTTTTTTTCGGAAAAATGCTCGATTGCTCTCTTATCTGAAACCTGGCTTCGACCTGATCAAAAGTTTTCCCTACCATATTTTAACCTTATTAGGGCGGATCGTGCGGACGGTTATGGCGGCGTAGCCATCGCTGCCCATCGTTCCATACAAATAAAAAAGATTTCCGTCGACAACTCCTTGAGTATAAATTTATCTCGTCAGTCCATAGATTTAGTTGATATTGAGGCGTTCTCTAACACTAAAAATTCCCTAAAATTATGGTCATTATATATTCCTCCTTCTTCTAACCTTCCTATTAGATTACTCAATGAAATATTTCAACTTATCGACCCTATGTCTATCTTAGGAGGTGACCTAAACGGCCACCATCCATCCTGGGATAATAATAATAATTTAAATCATCGCGGTGATATAATATTTTCCGCCTTAAACAACTTCAACCTGTGCTGCCTCAACTCAGGAGTTCCCACGCGTATCAACCGTCCGCCTTTTTCTAACACTGCAGTGGATCTAACCGTCTCTGTCAGCGCTCTCTACTGGTCATTAGTCTGTCATCCATTAGATGACCCACATGGTAGCGACCATTTCCCTGTGATAATCGAGCATGTTACTCCTTCTTTTCCCACAACATCAAAAGATCGTGACCCTTCTACCCCTAAATTTCTATACTCAAAGGCCAACTGGTCTCATTTTTCATCTCATTTAGATTCTGTCGTCAATACCTTTGTTTTCTCTTCTTCTCCAATAGACAACTACAACAACTTTATTTCTTTTCTGAACACGGCCTCCAGACTTGCAATTCCAACTAAGCGCATATCATCTAGATTTCCCTCCACCTCTCCAATATGGTGGAGTCCTGCTAGTTCCGATGCTATAAAAAATCGATTTGCGGCTTTTAAAAAATATAGGAGTTCGGGATCTATGATGGATTTTTTCTCCTATCAAAATGCCTGTTCCAACACTAAACGCATTCTTAAATCAGAAAAAAAAAATTCTTGGTCCAAATTTGCTCCACTCTCAGTCACTTAACCCCGATTCAGGACCTATGGGCTACGGCAAAAAAATTTAAGAACTGCGTCAACCGGACTGCCCCCTCGCTTAATGAAGAATGGTTTCCTTCATTTTGTAATAAAGTTTCTCCACCTTATGTTCCTTCCTTTCAAGAATCTTGTCCATGTATTCTTCCTTATCCAGAAAATTTCGATCCTTATTCACACATTCTTTCAGCTCCTTTCAGCCTCAAAGAACTTATTTCGGCCATCCATTCCCGTTCCTCGATTGCATCCGATCTCGACGGTATTTCAGTTAAAGTCCTCCAAAATATGCCCAATAATTCTGCAGAATGCTTACTATGTATTCTTAATGATATCTGGGTCACAGACACGATTCCGGATTCTTGGAAATGGTATCATGTTATTCCTATTCCTAAGCCCAACTCTTATCCTTCAACATTTAGACCCATTGCCTTATCCTCTGCCCTTTGCAAAATTGTCGAATACATCATTAAATTACGCCTTGATTGGTTTTTAGAAAAGAATAATCACATCCCTAACAATTTATTTGGATTCCGACGTGGCATTGGTACAATAGAATGCCTTTCATCGCTTGTGGGTTCAATTTACGATACCTTCTGCAACAAAAAATGTTTGTATGCCGCTTTTGTTGACATCAAAGGGGCGTTTGATTCCGTACACATCCCCACTCTAATCTCTCAACTCGTTTCACTTCACATTCCTCATTCGGTTTGTAACTTTATTTCTTCGTTATTTTCTCATCGTTTCCTTGAATTCTCTTCCCTATCGGGAATCATCTTAAGAAGTTCAACGTTCAGGGGCTTTCCTCAAGGGAGTTGTCTAAGTCCTCTTCTTTTCAATGTTTACATGTCCCCCATATGTTTGTCTCTAGCTTCACCTGATTTCAAAGTTCTTTTGTATGCTGATGACATTGTTATTTTCTCTTCAGACAAATATCTAGATAGATTCGTCAATATATTAAATAATGCTTTAAAATTGCTCTCTTCCTCAACTTTCCCCTTCATTCCTCTCCTCTTGCTTGCCAAGAGGTAAAATGTGTCTGTCCTCCGATTGAATTGAGAAGCCACCGTCTTGCTGGTAAATTTTTACTTAAATGTCTATCTTCATCCAACATTTCTATTTTTCAATTGTTTGCTTCCATTAAATCTTCGTGGACCTATGTGTCTAAAACGCTCCCTATCCTCGCTTCTGTCGCCCATTCATTCCATAGTTTTTCACCTATCATCTACAGTTCTAGCTTGCGGTTACAATTTTATGACACCCCTTATCCTGCACTTTTATTTATACCTGATATCATTGTCGCTCCTAATTTTCTTGGTTATTCGTCTAGCGAATTATCGTGTCTCCCACACACCTTAGTTGAATCTATTCAATGAATATATGCTTTCCAACTTTCCAAACTCCTTACTAGTTTTCACTGATGGTTTCGTATCTACTAGTTCTGCAT